CTTCAACACGGACAACCCGCATGCTGAACACACTCCGTGACATATTTCCCTACATTGACCCCGCTTCAACCACCCCAACTGATCAGTCAGTATATCAGTATTGCCAGTCCCATGGGTCGTACTCGTACATGACCCCAACATGAGTTCTGTTAATTAGTTCACCTCACTTCATCAGTTCACCTCACTTCTAAAGACACCCAGAAAGCACCGTGTTCGGCTTCAATCGATCTAGGCAGAACACCCTCAATCCAACCATCGATGGGGTCAGGCAGAGCCGGCAGAGCCCCAGAGCTATCCTTGGGCCGCACGCAGGCGGTTGGTGACGCCGGTTCACAGAAAGGTGAGGATGGTCTCCAATCTTACCAACAGTTGGTCTGAGAAAGGTGCCTTTTTGGAGCCTTTGTTTTTGATGGGTTTGTATGGGGTGCAGCTGAAGTGGTTGTTATGGACCACTGAAGGCGGCAAACTCCACAAATAATACAGATGTGGGAGGACATTCATGGTTGAGTAGGGGGCAGCTCCAACCAAAAGGGTCAACCAGGGTCCCCCCTCCTTTCCGACCCACTGCCTCCGCCAGTTCAGTCCCTGCAGTTCAGTCATGTCCCTTCAGGTGGGAGTCAACCATCAACCTGAAAGATCGCGCACCGCTTGAGTGGATGAGCCTCGTGCCCGGCCCGCATCGCAACGGTCGGAGGGCTGGCTCGGACACTCCAAGACGGGAGGGGCAGATGCCATGAATGAAAACGGGCGTTTTGGAGAGGAGAGTGCCCCCCTAGCTGAAAGTATCAGAAGACTGAAAACTCATTTGGAACATGGCATCGCATGGTCATCGCCTTGTGGACACTTTGGCGAGGAGGCTGCCTCGCCATCGAATTGGTGGCCTCCCACGTTGCCGCCCCAACCGGCACCACCTGAAGCAGCACAACAAAGTCTTAGTTTGATCGCTTTGGATGCTCGGCACCGACAGCGCTCATCTCCGGCCTCGCCGGAAGGCGTCGCCTCGTGGATGCTCGCGGTGTTATTCCAAGAACCACTCCGATCTGATCGATCGAAGTGGAGAGGTCGCCAATGTTGCATCAGAAACATTCTGAAACATTCAGAAGCTGCCTTTTATGGAGATGTGCAACTGAGGATGACATGTTCGCGGGAGCCGAGCCTCCAACCTTGCGATCACTCCGGAGGCGAGGAGAAGGCCCCAGAACTTGACACCAGGCAGTGCTCCCCACAAAGGACTTCAAAAAATGAGAGAGTGCTCCTGCACTGCTGGCATATGCTGGCATGATCGGGCATGACTCTTAAAATGACCTGGTTTGTCAAAGGTTTTCAACATATCATAAAATATCATAAAAGATCGTTGGATCTTGCCAAGTTTAATACAAAGGGTTTTACTATGCAATATCTTGTTTGACTCTTGCTGAATGTGGTCCGTTCCAAACCGTTGAAGAAGGCACCGGAGCATTCCGGTATACAGACGCTTCTGTGCCTAGAGGATCGTCAACCAAGATCAGGTTAGTAGCGATGCCCTTGTTACTAGATGTTACTAGTATATATATATATAGCTTCTTGTTCTTAGTAGTAAGGCCAGGAGCCCCTAGTAGCGTCCTTGCTCCTAGTAGCGATGCCCTTTGCTCCTAGTAACCTAGTAGTTTTTTGTTCCTTTGATTTCTATTCTGAGAGCGTTGACAAACACATTCGTTGTGCCCTCTCTCAATCAGCTTCTTTTTGATGCACTTCACACACTCAGCTCAGAACTACTGCAAATCAACAGCACCTCCCAACTCCCAACCCTTGCACACGAAGCAAGTTCATTTCAACTCGCAGGCATCATAAGGAGCTCAATATGCACCCAGCCCAGTACGCAGCCCCCAAAGAGGTCTCCGAAACAAGTTACTTCAAGAAGCCACTGGGATTTTCGTTGCAATCGCACCCACCGAGCCAGCCAGCCAGCCCAGCCCAGCCCAGCGAGCCAGCCAGCCAGCCAGCCAGCCAACCATCGAGCCAGCCAACCATCCACCCAGCCATCATCCATCCTCACACCATTCCAAGGGACACCCCCCTCGAAAGAAACCTCCCATGGGCCTCCGGCGGCCTCCGCAGAATCTGAGGCCTCCGGTGCCTGAGACCTTGCTACAGGTGGATGATGATCCGTCCTTCCGAGTGCCTCGGCACGTTTCGTTCAGGTGCTTCGGTTCATGCGCTTCGGAACGCGGCGCACGTGAAGGTGATGAGTTTAAGATAGTTTAAGGCTTTATCCTCCACCGGCCGGCCACGAGGATCCACGAGCGGGGAAGGTGGTGGGAGAAAAAGGATCATTTTGGGGCGGGCCCATTTTGCCAAGGCAACATCTTAAAGATGTTGCCTGCCCTTTTTTGGCCGAAGTTGCATGCCAGACCCCAATAACTTACTAATAACCACAACAACCATTTCTGTGATACTGGGTGAGCGTGGAAGATCTTGAGGATTGGAATTTGGTGGTGGATCACGCTCACTGTTGCAGACAGCAAGGGTACACAGGAAACATTGGCACTTCCAAGCGACAGGGGTGCTCGCACGCAATGTGAGAGGCCAAAGTTCATTGGGCTTCACAGAATGGCGGGAAGTGCAGCTGGCCATGCACCATTCGACAAGAATTCTTGTTTGGTTTTCCTCTACCACCCGGCCGGCCGCCCTTTGAGATCGTAGGCCGGCACCTCTGGGGGGCAAGGCTGACAAGCTTCCTGTTTCCACTCCGCAGGAACTAAGTGTGGCGCTCCGGCCCAGCACCTGGCAAAATACCCTCCCGGGGTCTATCACCAAGCTCTACGATCAAGGAACTCGCCAGACTCGCCACATCTCAGGTGTGGGTTCAACAAGTCCCGGCCACTTGGAGCATCGTTGGCAGCGCCCCGAGGGTTGTTTGCGCCCACGGGTGGTTGCTTGAGACATGTTTTGTTCGCTGCTTGGATGTCCACCCCGAACAAGGGCTCGGCGTCCATCCCGTTGGATCGCCTGATGTATCGCTAGCGGGGGAGTCTGAGGGAAGTGTTCATCTCTTCTTTTCGTATCCTTCATTCCTTTAATATCATCATTTCATCTTATTTCTTCAGATGCTCCTGTTACCCCAAGACTCACGAGTAAAGCGACGCCAGACTCGCAGACCCCAAGGCATGTGGCACAAATTCCATCTCAAGTGGGCAGTGGCAGGCCTATAGAATATACGACACATCTATATCATTCGATTCCGATCTTCCAATTCCCATTGAAAACCTTATGAACACCGAACTTGAACAGACCAGATTCCCAGCCAGGTCCACTTTCCAGGGTTTCTCATTTTCTCGCTCCTGGTCCTCCATTTCACCAAGGCTGCAGGCGCTCCAGGTGCACCTGCGGAAGATCCCTTCGCATTTCCGGGTATGATCGACGTCGAGGGTGCCTGCGGGATGGGCGATCTGCGCGTGATCTCTCTGCTCCCCCCGACCCACACACACACACACCTCTCCTCCAGTATGTGCTTCGTTTGTGCGACCAGCGGCGTATGTGTTTGCGACCGGTGGCGGGTCCATTCGGTGAGTTGAATGGTTGGTGCATAGTTGAAGATCGAACATTACAATCAGCAAAATACAATTAAACTACTCAAGCCTTTGCTGGCTCATCCTTTTGTGTTCTGACATGACTTTTGTGTGCACGTGGTTCCGGCCAAAGTGTCAATGGAGATTTCTTGTTGACAGAGCCATGCCACCGGCACTCATGGATTGCCTTGCTATAAGCAAGAGCTGAAGAAGATTTCGGTGGTGTTATGATGTGTTATGTACTTTAGTGTTTCTGCTTTGAACCTGCGTCCTCCTTCTTTTGCCTTTTCGTTTCCACAATCAAAAGAGGATCAGGCAAACTTTATGGTGTATGCCGACCGGCCGACCATCCCCTCAAGAGGTTCCTTTAGAGTTAAGACAGGCGATTCATGCCAACGCCCGCTCTGACTCCACCGCTCAGCCAGACCCGGCCGCTAGGTGCCTGAGAAAAGCTGGTGAATCTGTCCCCTCCTGAAAGGCAGGGAAGATGGACCCGGCCCTTGGCATCTCTCGCTCTTTTTGTTGGAGGTTCGCCACCTTTGCTCCAATCACTGGGGCGTACTTTAGCAAGGCGTTGTCATGCGTCGTCCTTGCCTAAATGAATTTCAGTCATTTCCGCGTGAAAAGCTCAAATCCGGCGGTCAGTCAGGACTTTGCACACGGTGGTATTTCTCGCCGTGGTGCGATCTCGCCGACAAGTCTGATGTGTTCACTGCCACACGTATGCCAAGGTTGTGTACAGTTGGTTCAGAGTATAGGTGGCACATGATGGCACAAATCCAGATAGAACATGATATGTTCCATACTTCTAGAAGCTTGAGATGGCGTTGGTATATACCTGCCGGGATTCCCATGAAAGGGCTTGACCGCGGTAGAACTTATATACTGGGCTGTAGAGCGTGAACATCGGCCGCACCGCAAAGCGGGCGTCCGTGCCAAAGAGCGGGCGGTGGGTGGAAGAAAAGGTTGCGATGACTGCGAAGCTGAGGACTGATATGGCTTGAGCCACTGGTGACACATATCAAAGAAGAGGACAGAAGATGACAAGCAAACTGCACGTATTCTAATACCATGGAGGCTGTAGCACTGTAGCATGCTCGATACAGTGCTCACCTTTTTCCACTCCAGCCGCTGGAGTGGTATGATGAGCCCCCACGAGCTTGGTGCACTTGAGACTGGCCACGCCCCGAAAGTGTTTGGCTCTGTTTCGCGGCTGGTGTAGAGAGTTGAAGCCCCTGAGGGGCCTCTCTACACAAGGTTTCTATAGGTTTCTAGATTATTGGTATATATATATATATAGTCAAAAATATATATATATATACCTATGAATATTGATATATCCACATAAGTTATAATCATCCGGTCATCCCCCCTCAGATCAGCAGTTCAAACCTCACAAATTTGACACCCCCCCAAAAAAAACAGAAGGCAACCTTATCAAACACCTCTTGGGACAAAGGCGCCAAAACCGACTCAGCTGGTGGGGGGTGCACCTTTCGCCACGAAGCCACACCCGAGCCCTGTCGGCGATGAGATGCCGGGGCGCCCAGGAAGAACAGACGGGGCACGTGTGGGGGCCGAGAATGCTCCGCTATGGAGGCTCCTCTTTTCGGCCTCTCATTCTCAAATGATTCCCACCAGCCAGATGCCCATGCCATCAATGTTTAGGTTTCTCCCTCACATGGGTTGACCCAGCCGCTTGTGGAGAGCCACCTCCGCTGAGATTTTGGGGGGCCAAGACGTCGCGTCGACAGAATCGTTTCACCACTACAACGAAACATGGTCAACTGCCACGCGACCCTGGGGGCATTTCGACCAAAGTGGTGTTTTGGTAAATGCACGTCAAGTGCATCCCCCTGGGCAGCGATTGAGGAAGTCTGAATAGAATGATCCTCCCCAAGACTCTTCCATTCTGGCCTCGGAATCTTTTGAAAGGAGCTCCTGTTGATTGCTTGTGTAAAAGGGAGCCAAAAGGAAATCAAAAGGAAGTCCTTTCCTGTCCATTGATATTTGGAATTCCGCCAGTTCTAAACAGGAGGAAATCTAAAGGAAAGCAATCAAATGATATCAACGGTCCAGTGCTTTTTTGTTTTTAATTGCAGCCCCTAAATGATTCACATCCATCATTCCAGGGTGCCCGTGGAACACTCCCTTGAACTAATTATTGTAATTATTAGTGTAATTGTTTGTGGCAATATTTTGTCAGCTGAGCCCCAGGACCAAGATGAGCTCATAATAGCGAAGAACAAGAAGCAATGCTGCACACCCAAAGCAAACAAAAGACTGGCACTAGGAACCAAGGTGGTGGTGGGGGGGGTCACATTACACTGAAACAGGGAGAACCAATTATATAAGTAATAGACAGTAACACATCCACTCTGTGAGAGGAAAGCAGTATATATTTGCAACCCCCAAGACAATTTAAGGGTCTGGAATAATTTAACAAGCACTTTTTACAATTCCATCACAACCCATTTTACAAATCAACATTACCCCTGGAAGCCAAAGAGTTCTGACCGAGGACCATCGACCAGGCAGCTTGAGAACTCAGGTTTTCCCGAATGCGTAGCGAAGGGTTCTCGTTTAACTCTGGGGGTCTGGGGGTAGAGCCTTGTTCGCGACCCGTTGTTTCTGCGTCCGCAACCGTCCGCAACCGTTTGCAACCGTTCGCAGCCGTTCGCAACCGTCCGCGGTAGGGCGCTAAGGCGCTGCCATTGGGGGAAGCTTTTGGAAAGGGTTTCGGATGGAAACGTGACGTGTCAGATTCGCGTGAAACAGCGTGGAAACGTGTGGACATGTAAGCTGTTGAAGTATGATTCACTGCGCAGGCACAGCGTTTTGTGAGATCCGCAGTTTTGTGCGCAGTTCCATTGGGATTAGCGTTTGGAGAGTGGTGTTTTTGGGGTGTTGGATGTGGCTGTGCCTTTGGGATTTGCGTTTCAGGGCGTTGCGTCGAAGCTCTGTTTTCGTGACAAGTCTCAGCTGAAATGGCGGCTTTGGTGTATGGGAGTGTGCTCAGAACGGGTCGAAACCATTCCAAACGTGTGGCGTGGTGCAAATTTTGTTGAAGCTCACATGATATGATATTGTCACTTTTCGTGGCAGGCACAGTACTTTATGCGGGATTTGAGGTGTGGAAGTGCGATTTTCGTGGCAGGCGCAGGGAATCGTGAGGTTGCGAGGTGTGACGGAGGTGACATTTCGTGGCAGGCGCAGTACTTTGTGCACGTTAGATGTGTGGACGCGGAAAGATTCGTGGCAGGCGCAGGGAATCGTGAGGTTGTGAGTTGTGGTAGAGGTGAATGTCGCTGTGACATTGGGATTGTTGTTTGGAGGGGCTGGAATCGCGAAACTGCTTGGCAGGGCTGCGTGATGTGTGTGCTCCGATGGGTGTTTCCGCTTGACTTTTGGAGGAAGTCTCGTACGAAACGCTCGTTTTGCAGACTTTGACATGTGAGTTTTTGAGGAAGTCTCGTACAAAACGCTCGTTTTGTAGACTTGACGTGTGACTTTTGGAGGAAGTCTCGTACGAAACGCTCGTTTTGGAGACTTGACGTGTGACTTTTGGAGGAAGTCCCGTACGAAACGCTCGTTTTGGAGACTTGACGCGTGACTTTTGGAGGAAGTCTCGTACGAAACGCTCGTCTTGCAGACTCGAAGCGTGACTCTTGGAGGAAGTCTCTACGAAACGCTCGTTTTGGAGACGTCTCGTACGAAACGCTTCTAGTGTATGGGCAGACCGTGTGGCGAAATTACATTCGTGATGTCGCAGTGCCATTGGGACTTGCGCGGCCTTGGTGGGAAGTGTGTTTGCGTGGCGCCGTGCCACTGGGGAGCGCGAAACATGCTGGTGTAAACGCGGCGTGTTGCTGGTGAGAGGGATGATTGGTGGTATCAAGAGTGTCCCAACCAAAAGAGTGCCCCGCAAGAGCTTCCTACAAGAGTGACCCACAAGAGTGTCCTACGAGAATGTCTGACAAGAGTGTCCCACAAGAGTGTCTCACAAGAGTGTCCCACAAGAGTGTCCCGTATGAGTGTTCCACAAGAGTGTCCCACAAGAGGGCCCCCTAAGAGTGTCCCACAGGAGTTTCCGACAAGAGTGTCCCACAAGAGTGTCCCGGAAGAGTGTCCCACAAGAGGGCCCCCTAAGAGTGTCCCACAGGAGTGTCCTACAAGAGTGCCCCACAAGGGTTTCCTACAAGAGTGTCCTACAAGAGTGTCCCACAAGAGTGTCCCACAAGAGTGTCCCACAAGAGTGTCCTACAAGAGTGACCCACAAGAGTGTCCCACAAGAGTGTCCTACAAGAGTGTCATTTGGACATATGTAGCTTTTCGAACGTGTTTGCATTCGGGTTCGTGGGCTCCACCTTGTTTTTTTACATATAGCTGTGCGGAACTGGCACACCAAAGAACTCCTCCAGGCAGCATCCTTGTCCTCCTTTGCGTGCGGCTGAGCGCGCAGTACTGCGCTTATGTCAAGCTGGCATGTTTTCCTGAAACCACATGAGGAAGGTTGTTTGAATGAGGCGGCTAGGGCCTGGGTGTTGGTCTTTTTCCTTATGCGAGGTTGCGGAAATGCTGTAGAACTTTTCAATTGAATGCACATGCGGTCACCCTGTGAATGAAGGGTTAGTCATGCACAGACATCCATGATATTCTTTCAAGCTTTTTGATCTCTAGTTGCCTGATGACTGCCAGGCAACAGATGTACCTTTCATTTTAACATATCTTGACCCTGCTCAAGCATGCAAATCAGGCCTCTCATGGTTTTACACCTTTCCAGTCTTCAAACTTCATACTTCAAAAGCACCAATCACATGCATTTATATACCAGGCTCTGAACGATCACAGCCTTCTTCTGAGGCGCATGCGCATGCTTCCGTCGCCAGGTGCCTGGCGGCAACGGATCCACATGGTCTCGATCCAAGTGGCGAGTCGACGGCGGAATCTTAATTCGTCAAGTCTCGGATGGCATCTGCCGCTCGGATCAAGCGAGGAGTCGTGGAAAACCGGCGCCAGCCGTGGGAAAACCGGGCGGTTTCCCTTTGCGGCCTCGGGCCGGCCTCGGGCCGGCCGTGCCGTGAAGGTGTTTCGTTGGGCTGTCGGGCTAGTGGGAGACCTGTGCCAGGTATAGGGCGACCGAGCGTGCCGGTTTGAGGAACACAATCAGATCCTTCGCTCCGGGCGGCGAGCAAGAGTCAGGTGAACCAACACCGTTTGGTCGGGTGAATGAGGAGTTGCGAAGCGCATTCTGAACCAAGTCATGAGCTTGAAACCAGACACATGTGACCAACAGCATCGGAAACCGCAAAAGTTAAAGTGGATGCATGGCGACCTGCGACCATAGAAACCCTGAAGGCAGAAGGGCAGAAGGAAGGAAAAGGCAAGTAGGATACCCTGCAGGATGCCTCTTGGAATTGCAAGGTGAACGCAGTCCATGATGACCCCCGTCGATAACAGATGTTGAGATCAACAGAAGGCGAGAAACCAAAAGCATCTCCAAGATTACCGCCCAAAAAACACCCCCACACCCCACGCACGCCCGCGCGCACGCACGCCCGCCCGCCCGCACGCCCGTCCGCCCGCAGGCACCCGCGCACGCACCCGCGCGTGCGCCCGCACGCACGGATGGACAAACACACAAAAGGGGGAACAAAACGCGTTAGACCCGTCCAAAGCGATCGAGAAAGACATGGATTGGGTCCCAGGCCCAAAGTTGGTTCCGCACCATGTCACGTGTGTTCCATGTGTTCGTTCTTTCAGATGACTTAGGAGTAGTGGATTCTAATTTGAAAGGTCCTAATAGCTTCTTGTTACTACTAGTAAGGCACTTGTTACTAGTAGCGATGCACTTGTTACTAGACGACTTATATAGGAGTAGCGGAACTGCGTCACTGTGCCACACAACTGTAGCAAAACAGTTGACCTCGGCGGTGGAGAGGAGGGGTGTGTTCGCAACTGTGGAGAAAGTAAGAGACCCGGGAGTCCCGGGAGACACAATTTAGGGATAACAATAATTGCTTAAATGTGGTCATATAGTCTGGCAACACACTTTGCAAGGACGAACAAATTTGTGCAGAAAGGTCCAAGCAAATCAGCTACAGGCTCAGGCCATACCAGAGGTGTCGTGCACAAGACCTGGTGATGCAGATGCAGCACGCCCGTCGTGCGCTGCCCATCGTCGGGTCCCTTCGAAACGAAACGGAGTGAAGTTCGAAAGGGCCCATGTTCGTCGAATCACGCGACATGTGCTCAGGTAAGTAAAGTTTATTGTGAGGGGGGTGCAGGATGTTTTTTTCTCGTGTTTTTCCTTCTCCCCCGGTCGAGGTAAGACAACGACCTCGACCAGCAGTACGAGCAGCTCGACCTCCACTTCGTCCAGTGTGACTTCTTCCAGCAGCGTCACGAGCACCAGCACAAGGAGTGCGTCACGATCGGGTTGTCAGTGAAAGCATTTCTTGAAAAGCCGTATGCATTGCTCAGTTTCCATGCCAGATTTTCTGCATGCATGGAAACGGTCAGTCAGAAGGCAACATGTAATAGGACTGTCGGCCAGGGGTGTTCGACAGGTTTCTAATTATTTATTTGTGTGAGATTTGGGGAAGGTAAATGAGCCAAACCACGGTGTCGATTTCTTTGTTCGGGGCAACCTTTGGATTCACATGATTGAGTTTGGCTTTCTGAGAGGAATTTATGGATGACTTGTGTTTACACATGTTCACACACTGTTTTTACAAAGGCTCCCTCAAACAGGACCAAACAAATGGGACGATGGAACGCGACAATATACCATAATAAACCTATGAAAACCAGCCGAGAGCTCGCACGACCGTGTTGGATCACTTTCACGACCATGTTGGATTAGTTGTTTGCCAATTCTGCATCAGTCTCACTACAACAAGCTCCAGCAGCACATCAACAAGCAGCACGACAAGAAGTTCGACCTCCTCTTCCAGCAGTTCGACCAGCAGCTCCACAAGCTCCAGCAGCAGTAGCTCCAGTAGCAGTAGCAGCATTACAACCAGCAACTAGGCTTGCAAGCTGCGGGCCGGGTTCCCCCTTTCTGGTCCCTAAATGACCTGAAGAGCATCTGAGCTTTGTTTGGATCTTTTTCTTGGAGCACCTGCGTGAATGCTTGTCCCAGTGTGCAACTTCACCTGGCATGAAGCCAGTGTCCCTCCACCTACGCCCTCCCACCGCATGAGGCAGCTCCACATCTTCATCGGTGACAACTTCTTCTCAGACTAGCTCCTCTACCACAGAGACTAGCACAACCACAAGCTCCACATCATCAACCACCTTCACAAGCTCTTCCACGTCAATGACCTCTACTAGCACCACTTCAAGCTCATCATCAAGCACGAGTTCCAGCACTAGCTCTACGAGTTCGACCAGTATGACCACGACCTCAACGTCAGCCAGTACCACCAGTACCACATCAACATCGTCCTCCCTTACAACTTCTTCTAGCACAAGCAGCTCGAAGACAACCACATCGAGCACGACAGAGTCCAAATCCACAACTAGCATGACAAGCACTTCGACAACTAGTGTCTCCACAAGCAGTAGCTTAACCACATCATCGACAATAAGCTCATCGAGCACAACTGCCTCGACCACCTCCACATCTTCCACCAGCAGCACTAGTACATCGACCTCGGCATCTATTACAACGACATCCACCAAAAGCTTCTCAACCACTACTGCTTCAACAACATCTACTTCTGTCACCAGCCTGACCAGCAGTTCAACCTCGCAATCCACCACCCTGAGCAGCGTCACAGCAACATCAACCACAACAGCATCTATGACTAGCAGTAGCTTCACAACATCCTCGACGGTCAGTTCCTCCGTTACAACCACTTCTCTCACCAGTGTGACTGGAACTGAAACTGTGGTGAGCACCACTTCTTCAGTTACGTCCACGACAACAGCAACCAGCAAATCAGAAACAACTACTACCGTAACGTCAACAACTTCAATCAGCACAACACTAAGTACAACGAGCATCTCTTCAACGTCAACATCTTTCACCACCACATCTTCAACCAGCTTGACGCAGAGTTCAACATCCAAAAGCACGACCACTAGCAAATCAACGACATCCTCCGTAACATCTTCCAGCTCCACAGCCACCTCTGTGACCAGTACATCAACAACACTTACTTCTACGACCAGCCAAACCGGCAGCTCAACATCAAAATCCACTACGACCACATCCACCTCCATTTCATCTAGCACAACCACATCGACATCGTCCACGTCTGCAACCAGTACAAGTAGCAGTTCAACATCACAATCCACCACAAGCAGTAGTCTCTCAACAACATCCAGTGCAAGCTCATCAAGCACGACTGCTTCAATAACTTCAACATCAAGTACTTCAACCTCAACAACAAGCACATCCAGTAGCTTAACAACATCATCTACTGCTAGTTCATCTAGCACCACTGTTTCAACAACTTCAACTTCAAGTAGTTCAACATCAACCACGAGCACATCAAGTAGCTTAACGACGTCATCCACTGCTAGTACATCTAGCACGACTGCATCAACATCAAGCACATCATCAACCAGTGCAACCAGCACTTCTACATCAACCAGCAGCAGCAGCAGCAGCTCAAGCAGCTCATCCAGCGGCACTTCATCTACGACCAGCTCGTCCAGCACAACAAGCTCACTGACCTCCACCTCCTCCAGCAGTGCCACGAGCAGTTCCAGTACCAAAACCACGTCCAGCAGCAGCGTGACCAGCACCTCCAGCATGACAATGACCAGCACCAGCTCCACGATCAGCACCAGTAGCACCACCAGTACTAGCAGCTCTTCCAGCTCCTCCAGTGCCACAAAGACCTCAACGACCAGCGTCTCGAGCACTAGCAGTTCCAGAACCAGCAGCAGCAGCACGGTGAGTGTGACTTCAACGCTGCTCAGCTGATCTGGACCGATTGTTCCGGCCCAGTGCGGCTTTGAACTTGGCGAACCCATGCGAACCCTCGAAACTTGGGGAAGAAGAGACCACAGTGACCATAGAGTCAGACGTAAATCAGCCTAAATCCCAGTGGTTGGATGGCCTCCTTAGTAGCCTTAGTCCTTGTTTTCAATGTTCTGCACCTTGACTGGTGTGAAAGGATTAGAATAGAGGTCTTACACGTACAATGGTACAATCCGGAATCGGCAACTCCAAGATGTGATGTGCACATCAAAAGGGTGAATAAGAACACGTGAGAAATCGTGATAATTTTTTGTTGCTGTCCTTTTGGCAGTCGTAGTGGTGGTAGTGGTAATGGTATAGTGGTAGTGGCAGTGTGGTTGTGTACAGTGTATTGTCGTAGTGGTGGTGGTGGTGGTGGTGGTCATTGTGTGGTAAGTGCGGTAGTGGTAGAGTGGTAAAGAGGTAGAGTGGCAGTGGTAGAGTGGTAGTGGTAGCCTGATGGTGTGGTACTGTGGTGGTGGTAGTGCAATCTCAGAATCTGTATTTCAAGGTTCTCTCAGCGCCACTCTTGCCACATCAAGATTCGCATCACGCAGCCCTACCAATGCGTTTCGCAGTAAAAGCACTTACAAAGACAACTTCAATTTTACCAAAACGTAGCGTTTCTCTCCCGAAATGTTGAAAACAAACCGCATTGAAGCTAACAAGTCACGGCACCTGCCACGAAATCAGAGCACGCCGAAGACCACAACTATGACCAAAGTCCCAAAGTGGTATGCCACGAAATCTGCACATGAAACTGATCTCCCACACCTGCCACGAGAAGGCAACTTGAGAGCACCAAAGCACAAGGATTCTCCTGTGCACCTGCCACGATATTCGTGGCGACCAAGTCCTAAAATGCGCGCGGCGCCACAGCACCACAGCGCCTTCGGAGGATAGCAAACCGCGGCCACGATTTTGCGCGACCCTGCGCAGTCGAAATGCTCATGTTAAGGGAACCTTTGCGCGAGCCGGCGCGCCGCCCCAGATGAGTGTTAGACACTGCTTGGGGGACAAACATGTGCAAATGAACATCTTTTAAATATATATATATAGATAGATGTAAATATATATATATAAGGGTTAACCTGTAAAGGGTTGGATGTAGGCATTCCGCTTGCGGGCGTAGGCTGGCGTAGGCATGTGTTTTATTTTTTGTGGCAGAAGCCGCGTAGGTGACGCATTTCCCAATCAAGAAGATTCATACAGGAAGACTTTAATAAATATAACTTCTCAATGTTTCAAATGCTACCTGGATAGGAGTAGGCAAGATATTAGCAAAACCAACATGCAGTAGGCGTAGGCACCACGCAGGCGAAAAGTAGGGTAGGAGTAGGTAAAAACTGGTGCGGGAAGAACCTTGCCCCATACATGGCAAAGTGAAGGTTTGGAATTCTTCCTCGTCCATATGGCCTGGCTTTGTCGTTAGTAGGCCTTTCGCCATGGCTAAGAAGGAACCCAACGCCTTGCAAAACAATAGACGAAAACAGCGAAAAGCTTCCAAAACTGTAGCCACCCGCGTAGGCAAAACCATTCAGTGATTAACAAAACTCCACGCGCGTAGGCCGCGCAGGCAACCTATCCTAACTTCGACCTGCGCGTAGGCCAAAACTGTGAGCGCGTAGGCAGAAAGTAGCCTTGGCGTAGGCACCAATAAAAAGAGAACACCTTACATCAGTAAACAAATCCACAACTCAAATGGAATACATGCATGCAAATTGATTCCGCAACATTGACCCCGGAGCATTCTATTGCTAACCAAACCACGGCCTTGGGAAAATCTTGGAAAACAAAGACTGGAAACCTAATACTAAGATCTGGATACACAGCTGACTTCAAAAAGAGCCCTATATAAGTAAGAACAAGAACACAATATGAAACGGTGTCCCCCAAAAAAACCAACCTGTAACCTGAATCACCCCCTAGGCTGTCTGCAGTGTCCGCTGGGAGTTCAACTCCAGTGTTGGCGCTAGCACGGCAACCTTTCTTTTTTCACTTGATGCTTTCGGTGTGTGATAATGGGCAAGAAGCAAGCTAAATCGATCACCACATATCATTTCGGGCTAGCAGATACAATATTCAATATTCCAAAACGACTTCCAAAGGTAATTCATGCAGATAGAATAATATCCAATTCTCATTAGGGTGGGTGTGCAAGACTTTGCCAACATCTTCAATATTTCACCTGAAAGGTTCCATAGTGATTTCTAGTGCTTGATCATATTTATATCTTTAAGACTCAATGTTCCTATGGTTTCGGACTATTCTGGCCATGGTTAGAAGCAAGGTTACACGAGACTTCGAAGCAGACGGATCATCTGGTACAAGAAAGCCCACTTTGTCACTTCCCAAATCATCCCCCTTGAGCCAGGAGTCTTAAGAATCTTGAGGGGTGTGTGTTTCGAGTTGCTGAAGAACACACCCAACACCCAGCGAAGAGCATTCACCAACGATGTGACGTCAACCTGCAATGGGCTGGTGCACAGGCGTGGTTCTTTCAAGGATGACATGTTATCATGTTGAAGCCCGTGCCCAGGTCATCTTTAAGCTCCACTTCAAGCACCCAGACGACCATCACCAGCCACTCGTTTGTCAAGCTCCCTCCCTCCATTCCATGGGGATTTGGTGTTTTCCAAAGCCCTGGGATGGCCGACAAGTCTCGCTGTCGACGGGTGGCGCAAGGTTTGTGCCACCTTTAAACAATACATTCGTCGGAGACGCCCCATCGAATTCTCCCCGATCTTCCGGTGACATGGTTTCCAAAAGGATGCCGCATCGTTCATTTGCCGGATGCACATGTGAGCGAAGACTCCTGGTGGATATTGGAAACAAGGCCAGACGTCTCGTCATCCGGGAGCACCTTCTTTCGCGGCTGGGGCCGTCAGAGCAAGGTACCTCTTCGACGTCCAGCCGCACGAGCACGACTTCAGGTGGCGCAACGAGTGGAATCGCGGGAAGGGCGGCATGTGTCCAAGGATTTGCTCAATGGATGAGACCCAATGGATGTAGCATCAGAGAACGAATAGAGTCTTGAACGCAATATATATATATATATATTCATATATCCATATATATATATATATATTTGTCGCTGTGGCGAGCAGCAACAGCAGCAGCATCCACAGCCGCACCCGCAGCAGCAGCAGCAGCAGCTGCCACCACCACCAAGAATTGGTTTGTACGGATCCCCGTGCAACATGTCCCAGCACTTTGTGCTAGCAACCCTGAACCGCTGTTGGTGTTGATATTACTGTAGCTGCATCGCACAGACACACACTCATGGATATGCGTACTGACTTGATTGCGGTGCCACACGCC